GGATATCGATACTGCGGCAGGGATTTTTCATGGAATTATTGGCAAGATATGGGACTGCGAAGAATTTCCACAGGATTGGAGAGAGGGATTGCTCGTGAAACTACCCAAGAAAGGAGACCTGCATGAGTGTAAAAACTAAGGAGGAATCATGACCTAGAAAAAGCCTTCGACACAACCTGGAAGTACAGCATTCTTCGAGACCTGCATGCACTCGGCATACGCGGTCACCTCCCTGCCTTCATTGGCAACTTCCTGAAGAACCGTTCCTTCCAGGTTCGTGTCGGATCCTCCCTTTCAGACCCCCACCAACAGGAAGAAGGAGTCCCCCAGGGGAGCATCCTTTCTCCTGGAAAGGCAGCTGCAAACGCAGCTGCACAAACTCGAAATGTGGGCAAACAATAACGGTTTCAAGTTCTCCCCGTCAAAGACGGTTGCAGTACACTTCTGCCGAACAGGCAGACGTGTGCTGCAGCCGGATTTGACACTATACGGGGAAAGGATTCCCGTCCAGGACCAAGCTCGTTTCCTCGGCGTCATTTTCGACAAAAAACTCATATTCATACCACACATCAAAGACCTTCGTGTGAGGTGCCAGAAAGCGCTAAACGCTTTGAAAATTCTATCACATCCGGAGTGGGGCGGGGACTCAAAACACCTTCTTCACTTGTACATCTCCCTTGTCCGGTCCAGGCTTGACTACGGCTGTCAAGTCTACGGATCGGCAAAACCACACATCTTAAAAATGCTGGACCCAATACCGAACCAAGGACTCCGCCTCGCGCTGGGGGCTTTCTGCACTTCTCTGGTGGAGAGCCTCCAGGCCGAGGCCAACATACCATCACTCACACTCAGACGCACAACTCTCTCTACAATACGCAATTAAACAGAGCTCAACACCCGAGAACCCAGCACCAACTGCATTTTTAAAACAAGCCCAGAAATCATAAACAAATTTCTAAACAGCGAAAAACTCACCAAGCCCTTCGGCCTCAGAATCCTTGAGGACTTAAAAAACTTACACTTTTCCAAACAAGACATCCAACAATTTCTTTTCACCGACCTCCCTCCGTGGCACCTCACCAAGGCAAAAGTAGACTTACAGCTGACTACACACGATAAAAAAAATGCACAAACACCAAAACATTTAAAGCAGAATACAAAAAACTTATAGAAAAATACCCCGGTGCGGAGCTTATCTTCACAGATGGCTCCAAAAAAGACAATGGTGTGGGCGCTGCAGCCCTATCTTCAAACAGTACACACCAGAGGAGACTCCATCCTGAAGCCTCCATTGTCTCTTCGGAGGCCACTGCCATTGACATGGCACTGGACTCCGTAGAAAATACTCCTAACAAATCTTTCCTTATCCTTTCTGACTCTCTGTCTTGCATCACCTCACTCACAAACTACACACTCCTACACCCAACAGAAAATTCACACCTTATCTGAAACAGGGAAAAATATCATGTTCGCATGAATACCTAGCCATGTGGGCATCCGAGGAAACGAGCAGGTAGATAACCTGGCAAAAGAATCCAAATCCCTTCTGTTGGGATCAACGACAAACACTCTCCCGCAGACTGACTTTAAAAATAAAGTAAAAAGCCACTCCTCCAGTCTGTGGGAGACTCTTTGGAAAAAGCAAGTAAACAAGAAACTTCACAACATTAAACCCAAACTGTAACCCTTCGGGCCTCTCCAGAAGAGACAAAGTCATTTTTACTCGATTACGCATCGGACACACGTCCCTGACACATAAATACCTCCTTCAGGGAGATGAGAAACGGTTCTTTATCGGATGCTTCACAGATTTTACCATTAGACACATTTTAACAGAATGTCTAGACTTTGGAGATCCAAAGGAAATATTTTAGACGCAAAAAATTTCAAGATCTGATTTCCGTCGTTGATCCCAACAGAATTCTTGATTTTATGAAGGCCATTGGTCTTTAACTTTATGGGAAGTTGTTAATGGAATTGTTAAAAATTTGTAATGTTATATTGAGAAAGTTGTTTTAAATTAGTTTATTTACATCAAATTTTTAGTATTTTAGCATTTTAATAGAAGTGTTCAACAGAATCGGGCTGTGCAGAGTACTGTTGCGAACAGAACCAACCTTTTTTCGCACGCTCATATGACCGTATGCACTTGCGAGCGCCGTAAAACTCTTACTAAAACAAACGATCCTCCCTTTCAGACCTCCACCATCAGGAGGAAGGTGTTCCCCAGGGAAGCATCCTTTCTCCTGTTGTATTCGAAATTAAAATAGATTCCATCGTTAGACCCTCCAAAATAGCATAGAAAGCTCGTTATATGTTGACAACTTCCTGATATGCTGCTGTTCGAAAAATCCTCACCTAAGATCTATGGAAAGACAGCTGCAAATGCAGCTGCACAAACTTGAAAAGTGGGCAAATAATAATGACTCCGAGTTTCCGACGATTGCAGTACGGTACACTTCTGCCGATCAGGCAGGCGTGTACTACAACCGGATTTTACACTATACAGGGAAAAGATTCCCATCCAGGACCAGGCTCGTTTCCTCGGCATTATATTTGACAAGATACTTACATTGATTTCACACATGATAAAAGACCTGCGTGTGAGGTGCAAGAAAGCATTTTCGCTTTGAAAATTGTAAGCATCCGGAGTGGGGTGGGGACTGAAAACATCTTCTCCACCTATACATTTTCCTTGTCTGATCCAGGTTTGATGCCTTGACTATGGTTGCCGGGTCTATGGATTGGCAGAACCCCACGTCCTGAAAAACCAGTACAAAACCAAGGACTCCGCCTCGCCCTGGGGGCTTTCCGCACTTCTCCAGTGGAGAGCCTCGGCAGAGGCAATCATACCATCACTCACACTCATATGCACACAACTACAATACGCAATTAAGCAAAGCTCAACACCAGAGAACCCAGCACACGACTGTATTTTCAGTACAAACCCAGACACCATAAACAAATTCCAAAACAACGGAAAACTAATCAAACCCTTATAAAAACATACAATTTTCCAAACAAGACATCCAACAATTTCTTTCCTGCGAACTCCCTCTGTGGCACCTCACCAAGGCAAAGATAGACTTACAGCTGACCACACCCTCCAAAGTAAACACAAACACCAAAACATTTTAAAGCAGAATACAAAAAGCTTATTATAGAAAAATACCCCGGTGCGGAGCTAATCTTCACTGATGGTCTTAAATCGGACTCCGCTGTGGGCGCCGCTGCCCTATCCTCAAACAGTACTCACCAGAAGAGACTCGAACCCAAAGCCTCAATTTTCTCTGCACTGACATGGCACTGGACTCCATAGAAAATTCTCCCTAACATTTTTACTAACAAATCTTTCCTTATCCTATTTTTTTCTCTGTCTTGCATCACCTCACTTACAATCTACACCCTCTTACGCCAAAAAATTGTTAGGTTACAACAACAAAAATGCACGCTTTGGCTGAAATCGGAAAAAGTATTGTGTTTGCATGGCGACCTAGCCACGTGGGCATCCGAGGAAACGAGCAAGTTTACCCCCTGACGAAAGAATCCTTGTCCCTTCTGTTGGGATCAACGACAAACACTCTCCCACAGACTGACTTTAAAAATAAAGTAAAAAACTACACCCCCAATCTGTTGGAGACTCATTGGAAAAAGCAAGTAAACAAGAAACTTAACAACATCAAGCCCAAACTGGGTCTGCGAAATCGTTCAGAAGAGGTGAAGTCATTTTTACCCGATTATGCATCGGACACATATCCCTGACACACAAATACCTCCTTGAGGGAGATGAGAAGCCGTTCTGTGACGAACGCGACACAGATTTTAAATTTTACCATTAGACACTTTTTAACAGAATGTCTAGACTTCGGAGAGACCCAAAGGAAATATTTTAGATGCAAAAGATCCTTGATTTTATAAAGGCCATTGGCCTTTATGGAAAATTAGAAATTACGTGGTTTAAAATATTACATGTTGTTAAAAAAATTATTTAAATTAAGAATTTATTTACACCAATTTTGTGTATTTTAGCATTTTTTAGAGGTGTTGACCAGAATCAGGCTGTGCAGTGAACTGTTGTGAATAAAACCAACTTTTTTTCGCGCGCTCATATGACCTTATGCAGTTGCTGTAAAACTCTTACTAAAACAAAAAACAAATACCTTTAAAAATTTTTGGCGCCAATATTTTGTATCCACTAAATCAAAGTCCTGATTAGTTACCTTACTTGACTTTAAAAAATCAAAGTTAAACTGTGATTAGTTTTTCAATAAAATATAATTTAAATTTTGGAAGAAATTTGTTTTGAAATGACAAAAAGTCTCTTTATCTCAAAACTGCTGTGAATAAAAAAAAGGCGTTTTGTCAGCTTACGGCAGTATTCCACATACTCCATGCTTGTCTCAAGGGTGGCGGCATAACCATAACAAGGTTTGACTGTAGGTCTAAATTTTTTTGATTTGTGAAACTGGGATAAGCAAAGTTATGCAATTCTTTCTTGTGAGATGGACAATATATATCATGTATATGTGGGTGTGTGTGTTGTGTGCATTTGTGAATGCAGTGCATGTATGTGAGAAGAATAGAGGTAAAGGAGAGAGAGAGAGAGAGAGAGAGAGAGAGAGAGAGAGAGTATAATGCATTTGTTTGTTTTTTTGTCTATGTTTTTATTGAAATGTAAACTGTATTAAAACTTTCAGTCTTCTTTTGTAAGAGTAGGGGGAGGGGAGGGCAACCCTTTCCTTGAGTAATGCTCTTGCAAAGTTATTAACTCGGGTATAAAAAATTTACCATTACAGTAATTACTCATGTGTAATTTTTCTATCTTTTTCTCCTCCACGCTCATCATTCCCAAAATTATCAAACATTTTTGTTCGATATTCCAGAAAAAGAATTGAAGAGTCTCGATTGCTGCTTTATCTATGTGGCTCAAGTTAATTCTATCAAAAGATACTGCAGTGCACATTTACAGATAATGTAAATTTGTTGTCTGTTGTTACCAGATCGTTAAAAGTACTGGGGAAATGAAACACTTGGACACATCTGATGAGGGCAAGTGCAACTGGATGATGTTTGTGCGACCAGCTACCACATACCAACAACAAAACTTGGCAGCGTTTCTGAAAGATGATTGTGTCTATTTTGTTACTATCAAGGTTAGTATTTACTGTGGGCCCAGTGTTGTGATGTGTGAAAGAGAGAATGGACATGGAAAAGATGTTGGGGGGGGGGGGGGGGTGGAAAGTGGCAATCTTTTTATCTTTTATTTTCTTCATTTTTTTCCTGATGTCTGATGAGTACCCTCCGGCACGTCCAGAAGCCGGATGGAACCACAGCTGAAACACAGGTAGACATCGCAAACACAATTGCTACATCTCTCGCCAAAAACTCATTCCAAGCAAACTACAACACCACCTTCCAAAACGTCAAAACTAACAGAGAACAACAACACCTAAACTTCCACTCAAACCACACTGAAACCTACATCGCAGACTTCACATTAGACGAACTAACATCATGCATCTCGGACCTAGGAAACACAGCCCCGGGACCGGATGACATCCACAACCAGATCATTAGACTATGATTAGACCCTTACCCGTAGAGAAACACTTACACTCCTACTAGACACATACAATGACATGTGGCGGTTGCACTCCTTTCCGGAGTCTTGGCGTCTCGTCACTGTCATTCCAATACCCAAACCAAACAAAGACCACACACACCCATCCAATTACAGACCAATAGCACTAACGAGCTGTCTGTGCAAACTTTTATAGAAAAAATAATCCACAGGTGACTCATGTGGTTTCTGGAGATGACGGGCTCGTTGAGCGGTCTCCAGTGCCGATTCAGGAAAACTCGATCCACTCTGGATCACCTGGTCCGCCTGGAGACCTTTATACACGAGACGTTTGCCGAAAGAGGCCACATGATCGCCATTTTTTTTTACCTAGAAAAAGCCTTCGACACAACATAGAAGTATGGCATTCTCAGAGACCTGCACGCTTTCGGCATACACGGTCACCTCCCTGCCTTTATTGGCAATTTCCAGAAGAACCGTTCCTTCCAGGTTCGTGTTAGGTCCTCCCTTTTAGACCCCCACCAACAGGAGAAATGTGTCCCCCAGGGGAGCATCCTTTCTCCTCTCCTATTTGAAATCAAAATAGATTCCATCGTAAAAACCCTCCAAAACAGCATAGACAGCTCGTTATACGTTGACGACTTCTTGATATGCTGCCGTTCGAAAAATCCTCACTAAGATCTATGGAAAGACAGCTGCAAATGCAGCTTCACAAACTTGAAAAGTGGGCAAACAATAACTGTTTCAAGTTTTCCTCATCAAAGACGGTTGCAGTGCCGATCAGGCAAACATGTACTGCAGCTGGATTTGACGCTCTACGGGGAAAGGATTCCCGTTCAGGATCAGGCTCGTTTCCTCTGCGTTATATTCGACAAAAAACTCACATTCATACCACACATCAAAGACCTTTGTGTGAGGTGCCAGAAATCGTTAAACGGTTAAAAATTTTATTGTATCCGGAGTGGGGCGGGGACTCAAAACACCTTCTCCACGTGTACATCTCCCTTGTCCGATCCAGGCTTGACTACGGCTGTCAAGTCTACGGATCGGCAAAACCACACATCCTAAAAATTAAAAATGCTAGACCCAGTGCAAAACCAAGGACTCCGCCTCGCTCTGGGGCTTTCCGCACTTCTCCGGTGGTGAGCCTCCAGGCTGAGGCAAACATACCATCACTCACACTCAGACGTACACAACTCTCACTACAATACACAAGTAATTAAACAGAGCTCAACACCAGAGAACCCAGCACACGACTGTATTTTTAAAACAAACCCAGAAACCATAAACAAATTTCAAAACAACGAAAAACTCATCAAACCCTTCGGCCTCAGAGTCCTTGAGGACCTCAAAATGAAAAACATACAATTTTCCAAACAAGACATCCAACAATTTCTTTTCCCTGACCTCCCTCCGTGGCACCTCACCAAGGCAGAAGTAGACTTACAGTACAGCTGACCACACACGACAAAGCAAACACAAACACCAAAACATTTAAAGCAGGATACAAAAAACTTATAGTAAAATACCCCGGTGCGGATCTTATCTTCACAGATGGCTCCAAAAAAGACAATGAAGTGGGCGCCGCAGCCCTATCTTCGAACAGTACACACCAGAAGAGACTCCATCCCGAAGCCTCCATTTTCTCTTCGGAGGCCACTGCCATTGACATGCTCTGGACTCCGTAGAAAAGTAGAAAATTCTCCTAACAAATCTTTCCTTATCCTTTCTGACTCTCTCTCTTGCATCTCCTCTATGGGTGAAAGTTTTCCGGCGTATGCCGGAATTCCGGCTTTTGAAAATACGCTTTCCAACTTTTCCGGTTTGAGACAAATTGTCGACTTCATATAATGCATTTCGGAAGTACATGTTGTCATTCTCCACGTCCTGTCTGTAGCTCTTTACATTTTTGATTACGTTGTTGGTCTGTCTCAGCGTGCCCTACTGGCCAAAATGAGCGTTGCAAGCTCAGAAATAACCCAATTTGATCTATGTCGCAGTAAACACTAGGCCAACGACCTCGATGTTATTCATCTGGCAAGACCGCTCTGTGATTTGCCCAGGTTTAGCCATACTCTGTAAATTGTGGCTGGTTTTGACATCTTTGGTTCATGTCGTTTGGACAAGCACAAGCACGTCGCGGTATTGTGATTTTTTTTTTTTTAAAGAAGGAACTTCATTCTTTCAGTAAATGCAGATAAGATGTACTTAGAAAAATAGATGTAGCTAACATAATTTGAGGTCCCGAATGTTTATGTGGAGTCTATATATATATATATTTTTCTGTGTATTAAAACACACACAAAGACGTAACCATTTGTACCTATATAGCGAGGGGAAAAATCGGCGACATCGAGGGTAGCTCTAATTACATGCAGGCCTATAGACGGCCGCAAATTTCGTTTTACCGATGAAGCCGTGGAGAGAGAGAGAGAGAGAGAGAGAGAGAGAGAGAGAGAGAGAGAGAGAGAGAGAGAGACACTTGGACAAGGAGTCCTTGACTGATACTTCAGAATTAAAAAATAATAATAAAACACACACACACTCAGCGTGCGCGCAGAGGGCCTATACATGGAATATAATATATTTATGGACACCCCTGGAAATTTTTGTATTCAGCTGGCTAGTCACCTTGGTGATTTGCCGTCGGTCCCGATTTTTTCCCCTGAGATCCAGATTTTTAGATTTCATAGAGTATAGAGTGGCAGATTTGGTTCAGACATGCGAACTGAGTGTCTGCTTGTGAAGGCACGTAGCCGGTAGGGCCCTATTGTCGCCACGTGTGTCAGCGCTTTCTCTTCAATAGAGATTACGCACTATGCAGCAGCTTGCCGATGTTCGGTACATTAGGTCTTGGTGAAGTTGTAGTAGTGAACCATATCGGAGCAAAAGTAACGTACAAAGACTTCTCAGTTGAGGACAAACGGCGGATCATAGTAGAAGTGGATGAAAAATCAATATATATACGTTTGAGATTCCGAACCAAAGAAAAAAAACACACCGGAAAATACTTTGTACATGTATTGAGACTTATAGTGCTGAAACAGGGATGAAAAGGCATAAACTGATAAAGTAGAGGGCAGTGGAACAAGCAGTGTTTCGTTGGTTTCAAAAGGGGCAGGCTATAGCTATTTTTATGTCAAGCCAAATTATTTCAGTTAAGACTGAGGACTACAGCATTAAAAGTTGAAAATTAAATCGCCATCAATCCATCACGCGCGCAGGCTTTGCACCAGGGGGCATAATTCATATAAATTTTGACCTGATTGTCCAACTTGGTTATTTTCTTTGGTGCAGCCTAGAATTTGTCCATGGCAAAATTCGTACATAACGAAAAGATTTCTATGTCCCGCCGATTTTGCCATCAACTGCAACTGCCCAACCTACAGCCCCAGACAATGTGTGCACAAGTGCCATGCACCATTGCTGAACTCTTATTTAGCAAGAATTCACAGTTGTAGTTTAAAAAATGTAGACTGTGACAGTGACATGGCTCTGGAAAAAAAATGTGTATCATTGGGGATTGTTATAAACAGTGGCGGCTCGTGGTTTATAGAACTGACCGGCCGTCATTCACATAGACTATTTCTCCCTCCCCCACCCCTTTCCTTCACAACACACACCCACACACACACACACACACACACACACACACACACACACACACACACACACACACACACACACACACATACACACACACATTATCTCTCTCTCTCTCCCTTTCGCCACCCCCACCCCCTCCCCCACTCACACACACACACCACTGTAAACATTGTAATATAATGTGAAAGAGCTAAAATATGCGGTAGTGTCAAGAAACAATATTATGAATAAAACGTATGGTGGAAGTTACTGAGATTAATAGAAACTGACTTGATCGGCAGAGAAAAAGAAACACTACTAGGCCAGAAAACAAACTGAAAGTGAGAGGCTATAAACTGCTGGTCCTGGCCTTCAGTACTTTACTCGTACATGTACTTTCTACACCCCCACACAAAATATCGACGTGCACTGGACCCGTTAAATATATTGTAATAAGAACTGTCCTGTTTGATGACAAAAAGTCAATTGATACTGTACCAGTGGCGCTGTCCCAAGCAGATCAAGTCTACAATTAAGATAGTATACAAAGCTGGACAAAGTTAGCACACAACAGTTTCCGATTATTATATCATCAATTTTTTTTCATCTCACTTCTCACTTCTCAGAACAGAACACTGTGTTGTAAAGAAGTGGGGAAGTGTGTCAAATGCTAATTATAGAACTTGGTGTCTAGCTGGGGTGACGGTGGAAAAGGAGAGGGAAGGGAGGGGGTAGGCCTGGCCCAGACTCTGACAACCGAGTGCCTATTGCTCCTCGTTAAAATTCTCCTAATATATCTTCACTAGACAATTCCTCCTTCCGCCGGCCAGACTCATATGGGCCAGGTAAGTTATTAGTGGGGAGAAAACGATGAGTAAATGTCAAACAGGAACTATAGGTGGTTAAAAAGTCAATTATAAACAAAAAAGATTAGTGCCATGCTAACAATAAATGTTCTGATAGTAGTTAGAGAAAGGCTGAATGATA